CTATAGCCCGAAAAAACCCACAAGAACCTAGTGATTCCAGCCATGAAAGCCTTCGACAATATATTATTATTACATTTATTATTTACCCTATTATTACAGTTATTATTACATTTCCATTATTTTAGTCTATTATTATTTTTATTGCATTTATTATTTTATTCTCTTTATTATTATTGGTAGGATACGTAAGCACATTTACATTGAAGAAAGTTAGAATAATGGTTTAATTAGTTGGACAGTCTTATCTTATAGTTTTATGTAAAGATTCAAAAACATGTAACCTACTGATGCCTCAATTAAAGTAATTTTATTGGTATCTATTTTTATTTTGACATTTACCCGGGTCAGACTAAGCTCCCAATCATTAATAGTCTAGTTTGCTGTTGACCTATGCAGCCCGAAAGACAGTTGCATCTGTCAAGTAGGAAATTTAGGTACCGCTTTATGCGGGGAGACTAAATTAACTAATTTACGGTGCCATAAAACCTTCCAGCAGCATGCAAAAGAATGAGGAAATACTCCATCAAAGGACCCGGTGTCACAAGTGGACAGTGAAGCAGCAGCTCCCTCTGTGTCCTGAATACCCTCATGAAGCCAGAAAAGCTGGAATGTTAAATTGCCTCTATGTCTGTCTATATATGTTGTGTGTCTAAATGGCATTGAATTTTTGCCATGTATATGTGCAATGTAAACCGCCATGAGTCCCCTGCAGGGTGAGAAGGGTGGAATATAAATACTCTAAATAAATAAATACCAGTAGCTGCTGCATTTCCCACCCTCAGCTTATACTCAAGCCAATACGTTTTCCCAGATTTCTGTGGTAAAATAAGGGGCCTTGGCTTATATTCAGGTCAGCTTATACTCGAGTATATACAGTAAATAGGAAATTGTGTAACTGAGTTTATAGGTCTTTCAAAGTTACTAAAATAACCAGTTTTAATACAACATGAAGCAGACTAAAGATACTGTGATCTAAACAGAAAAAAAAATCCTTTGCATGAAAAATGGATACTCCCCCCCCCCCCCCCCCCCCCCAACTGAAGTGTACAGGGCTCTTTTAAATATCTGTAATTGGGGTGTAAACAGGGACTTGTTTATTCTGCCCAATTTTCATGTCTGTGGGAAGACTTTTTCTGGACTTTTTCTCCCTTCAGCATTTTAGAACTTCAAACAACTTCAAACAAAATCCACATACAGTACGGATGTCTTTCATTGAGGAGGATATGGCCTATTTTTCTTGGCAAAATAACTCCTTTCTTGGCGAATAACTGCATGAATCTGAAATAGAATCATACGCTGAAGTTTCATCACCACCTAGTCATAAATAACTACACCAAAATAAGTAACCTATAATTTCCATAATCAGAATGGCCATGGCAGGACTGAGAACACCAAGCATTTTGAAGATATCAAGGTGGCTGCTGCAATTTACATGGATGCAGAGGTCCAAAGAAACTCTATCAAACTGAGAAAGAGATTTAGTAGACATGAACTAGAACTGTTTATTCTGAGAAACCAGCATAAACTTGGTAGGAAATCTGTCATTCCTGCACAGTTAGCAATCAAATACACAAGGGGTTTTCAAGCTAAGTGTAGTACTTCTTTATCTGTTCAATATCATACGAAAGCTGACTGGCACAACCTGGGGATCACAACCAGACACAGTGAAGACATCTGCCCTTGCGCTATGCTACTCTGCTGCTGAGTATGCATGCCCAGTGTGGAACACATCTCACCACGCTAAAACAGTGGATGTGGCTCTTAATGAGACATGCCGCATTATCACAGGGTGTCTGCACCCTACACCACTGGAGAAATTACACTGCTTAGCCGGTATTGCACCACCTGACATCCGCCGGGAAGTAGCAGCCAATAGGGAAAGGACCAAGGCAGAGACATCTCCAGCTCATCCCCTGTTTGGGTATCAGCCAGCACGTCAACGACTTAAATCAAGAAATAGTTTTCTAAGATCTACAGAGACACTCG